TTGACCATTTTTTTAACAACACTGTTGTTGGTCAAAGCGTCAAGGAGGAGTACATATTGACATGGGCAGCGTCTCAATGACCAATACAAGGCATTTTGGCTTTTGGGAGAGAAACTGCTAGGCAAGTGGAGTAAAACTAATCTGCAAAAAGTAAGCATGTGGATTTTCGGGTGGAAAGGACCGTCTGGGTTCTCTGCTTCTTCTACAGCAGAGGAAGTTACTCAAGGGATTGACGGAACTGGTCTCACTGCCATTGTTACAGGTTTTTTTTTTTTCTTCTTTTTCTTTCTGTTATTTGGGCTCCTTTTTGATCTGGGTTTTTGTCTTGTCTTTCATCTTTGCCGTCTATTTTCTTAATCTAAACTTCTGTGTGGTCGGTTGGATGGTTTTGGGAAAGACTTGCTTTTTACGGAAAAACCGAGTAGGTGGATCATTTATGTTCAGTTGAGAGGTCGCCTAATCACACAAATGGAAAGATCAATTGATCATGTGACAAGAAATAATTTTTGTCTCCGTTGAGAGAAAAAGAAGTGAACTTTTTTCTGATGAACTTAATCCCCTGTTGTCTGGTTTGCCATAATTACTGAGCTTGGTGACGACGTAATTTTGTTTGGTTGCAAATTTTTGGGTTTTGCCGGTTAAAATTTACAATGATTTATGAGATCTTTCTGGCATGTGAGAGAGTGATAGTCTTTGTTATTTAAAAGAAAACCACTTCTCCGAATGAAAGGGGAAAGAAAAGAAAAGAAAAGAAAACCCTCAACTTCTTGCTTGACTTAACGTGTTTAAATTTATAAGACGAGACCCATACTGTGGGTGTTTTCATGTATTTCTCTTAGTTACATATCCAAGTGCTCATGTCAGTTCAAATTTCAGGAGCATCAAGTGGTATTGGTGTAGAGACAACACGTGTTCTTGCATCGCGTGGTGTCCATGTGGTTATGGCAGTAAGGAATGTGGTTGCTGGTAGGAATGTCAAAGAAGCAATACTCAAAGAATTACCTGGTGCTACAATTGATGTGATGGAGTTAGATCTGAGCTCAATGGCATCAGTAAGGAAATTTGCATCAGAATATCAGTCCTCAAGTCTTCCCTTAAATCTCCTCATGTGAGAACTATAAACTGCTGCAAGTTGAATTACTTATGGTCTTTTTCTTTTAATTTCTGACACGTGCATGTGGATATGTGCATTTATGTGCTTTTGTATGTGAATTTACTAATATTCTTTTGTGCTTACGATTGCAGTTGTTATTGCTGTTTTCTTCTTACTTTATCAATTAGTATTTCAGTCTGCTTGTGCATGGACTTTAGTAAAACTTTTGATGAGAGGACTAATACTCTCTTTCCTTGCTTGAAAGCAACAATGCAGGGGTTATGGCAACTCCTTTCATGTTATCCCATGACAACATAGAACTGCAGTTTGCGACCAACCATTTAGGTTAGTATATTTCATAGAAGTTTGTCTATAAATAGTGTGTTGACAATGAGTAAATTATTTTGATACACTTGGATTGAAAGATCTCCATGATCTGTACCTGAATCTCAAATCTAATGAGATATAGTAGCTATTTTGCAGGTCATTTTCTTTTAACAAATCTTTTGTTAGAAACTATGAAAAATACAGCACGTGAAAGCAACAGAGAAGGAAGGATTGTAAATTTATCTTCAGAAGGTCACCGGTTTGTGTATCGTGAAGGAATTCGTTTCGATAAAATCAATGATGAATCAGGGTAAAATTGACAATAGGCTTTCACCAACTTGCTCCTTTCTGGGATGCAGAATCATGGATGAATAAGTTTTTGTTTGGTTCCAAGATATTTATAAAATGCTTGATCATTTCTTTCTCATTTTGCTCACCAATTTACAGATACTTTAGTTGGTTTGCTTATGGGCAGTCAAAGCTTTCTAACATATTGCATGCTAAGGAGCTTGCTAGGCGCCTGAAGGTACACAATATGGTCAATTTGTGTTTGATGTACAATTTGTACAGTCCAAGCTGAGCATATCACAATTCTTGAATCTCATATCACTTAAATCACTTAATGTATTATGCAGATGCTAACATGTTGACACTAAGAAAATTGTATCTCATTATGAATTTTCTTTATCAGTGAATTGTTCTGCCAAATTCTATTGAAAATAATTGGTCTATTGATCTGCCACTAGTGCTTTGAGTAAAAGTTTTTACATTGTTCGAAGTATCTGTCTCTCTATGTGTCTGAAATGGCTTTTGTTGCTGTGATTTGTTAATGTGCCTAGTGGGATCTAATCTGTGAATGTTTTTCTTTTTGTCGGGATATAAATAGGAAGAAGGGGTGGAGATTACTGCAAATTCAGTTCATCCTGGAGCAATTATGACCAATCTTATGCGCCACCATGGTTTTATTAACAGTAATCCTTCGACTTATTTAAGATTTAGTTGATTTTTGACTTCTGAAGATAGTTTCAGTATATTGGAAATTCAAAACAAGTTAGATACGTCTCTTTGACTTCACCATGACATAAAATCTCTTCCAATTTAGGATCATCACTTTGGACCTATAGAAAGTCCTTAGCAGCTAGTAATATTACTGTATTTATGGTTAAGATAACTTTGTCGTACTGTGTTACCAGCTATATCTCACACAATGCAGAATGAGATAGGAAAATATAATTTAGTAAGGACAAGGTTAGTTGCTGAACTGTAATAATTTTACTTGACAGTGCTGATTACAATCTAGTAATAGGTAGTCCAATAATGCAGTCCAATAACGTAGTGATGCTTCATTCACCAGCTTGTCTAAACCCTAGTATCAAACTGCTTGAGGTTGACTTGTGTCAACTTTGGCTTTAGATTACTGATATGATATATTGCCTTGATGCAGGCATTGGCCATATGGTTGGCAAATATTTCCTAAAAAATATTCCACAGGTATTCATTATGAATTGTGATAAGATTCATTATGATAAACAGTGCTTCAATTAGTAGTCTCTCTGCCACACGGCTCAGCTGCATATTTGTTTCCCTCTGTATGGTTGTAGGGAGCTGCCACTACATGCTACGTGGCTTTACATCCACAAGTTAAAGGTGTTAGCGGAGAATATTTTATGGACAGCAACATAGGCAATCCAAGCTCTAAGGCTAAAGATGCAGACTTGGCAAAAAGGTTATGGGACTTCAGCTTGACCTTGACCAATACCAAGTAGTTGGTTGAGAAGGCCTTTCGAAGAGGAGTCTCGTTGCTTTCTGGCTTGATTGCTTGGTCGCTGAGTCGAAAGTATATTATTAGACTTGGGGTTATAGAAGTTTGCAGTTTAATGCCTGTACTCTTGAACCAAAACTGTGAAAAACAACAATATTTCATATTATGCAGGGGGCTAGGGATTGATCTATCTGAAAATGATGAGATTGTAGTAGTTGCAACAGCTAGTTCTTATTCATGATTTGACTACATGAATCTGAAAACTAGTCCTTATATTAGGTTGTGGCCGGTACAGCTGAATTTTGAGGAAAGAAAGAGATCCCATCCAAAGAAGGTAAACTAAGTGTTTCTGGTACTAGAAAAGTATAGCAAGATCTGAAGAACAGTGGTAAACTATAAAAATCATGACCAGTGTTCTCTGTTCACTGCTGCTAAAGTACATTAAGTTTTGATCCAGCGGAAATGGCACGTATATGTAGTTTTGTTCATCACAGGGCTTTAGCTACAATTATCTGGTTTAAACTTACTCAAGCATTCTTCATTTCCTAAAATTGTGGCTAAGGGATCCCCAGCATGGCATTCCACCCGATGGTTAGCTAACAATGCAATGGTTCTGTGGGACATTTTGACTCATGTAGTAGTTCGTTTGATGTAGAATGTGGTGGCCACCTACTGACCTTCCCTCTTGATCATCAATTTACCATGTCAATCATGGGGTAAATCACTAGGATTAAATACTCAAAGCCGGCTACTAATCTATTTGGATTTTGGACGAATTGAGCCTTAAGCAATAAGGAAGAAATATAGGCAAGACTATCGATTTTTCCAACATTTTTATGTCCTTGAAATGCACAACACAGTTCATTTCTCAAGGTTGGAAAGTAAATACAAGTCAAATTAGAATTTATAAATTTGCTGCCAGTTTGATAATAGATACATCAATATCAGCAGCCACAATAAGTTTTTGGCTGAGCTGCTACAGCTGATGGAAAAAAATTTTACCAGAACCAGTCTCAGCAAATTTCGCAAGTCAATCTTGACAAAAGCCTAGATTCGGTTTTGGTTCCCCATCTTATGTACAAAACTTTTTTAACCCCCACCACTGTCCTTCCACCTGTAAAATATGTAGAGGGAGGGAAAAAATTGGAAAGAATAGCTCTTCTAACTATGTGTTTCTTAGGTGTAATAAAATGTACAATTCTCTTTACACTAGCAGATGCATTCATTGCCGGGAACTGCTTTAAGTCAATCTCCAGAGGTGAGCTTGGTTTTGCATTTCTGTCTCCACATTGCACGGAATACTGGAAAATGACAAATTATCTATGATGGTGAAATATGTACCAGCAAGGTGAAGAGCCTCAGTCACTGACACAAATGTGAAAATTTTATGAGTGCAGCTAACATCCGGCCTCCAACAACCTCTTGCATGCTAGTCGTTGCTTCCTGTAAAAATTGAAAACCAAGCAAAGAGACCATTCCAACGTCATATTATCTCCTTTCTGCCATTCAGACTTCCAGAACTAAGCATATATTATCTGTGTGGAAGTTGGAACCTGTGACCTTAATATTGATGACAGAAACAAGACCAGAGCACCCAAGAGCATCTAAAATGCCTGGACGCCCTCCCTGACAGAGGATTCTGTAGCAAACTAGATTCCACCATTATGACGAAGCATTGATGAACTTGGGCTCAGGTCCAATGATGGTTTAAACTTCACATGGTCCCTCAAGAGTTGCTGGGACACATGATCAGCCAAGACTGGCTGTCCATCATAAAGTTCCCTATAATGCCCATGGCCAGGCCGTCCATACTGTTTTCCAAAAGCACCAGTATCTGATGAAATCATATCTTGGAAAACATTAGAGGCTTGTGAAATCCCTCGAAACAGGTCAGGCTTGGGTTCTTGATAAGGGTTGCTAGCATTTCCATAGTAACTATTTTGGGACCTTGGGATTATTCCCATACCATCATGCAAGTAGGTGATTGGCAGTTTTGGGTGATGAAATGGAATGGCACCACTACCACCACTAAGAGGAGTGGATGAACCAGAAACAGTATGAGGGCTAGATATTGGAGAGGGGGACATCCTTCCACTCATATGTTGCGGTGACCTTGGATGTAGTAGAGGACTGCCAATGGGAGAAACAGGGCATGACACGTTCCTTGGTGTATAAGCATCACTGGAATAGAATAGAATTAAGTAAATAGAGAAAATCATGATAAGACAAAAGATAATAAACATTTCTAGATCAGGGCAACTACGGTTGACACATAAAAAACTTGGTTGCAGACTTATTTTCTACGTAGAATCAGACCTTGCAAGACATCCAGCAGCTTTCAAGCTAATGGCTTTGTTTCTTTCTATAATGCAATCATAAGAGCATATAAAATTCGATACTGGAGGGCTCAAAGGTGTTTAGACCAAAACAATTTGGCAGAAAAAGACCTTAGTTACATGTGAACATTCTATAATCACTAATGAAATCATAGCACAGCACCTGAGATGACAACAAGTATCATAATGATAAAAGTATCAAGTCAGATTTAGGTTAAAAGAAAGTGTTCTAATATTAACTGGACACAGACCCATCTACGACCATTATCATGTAATTTCATGCCACTCTCAAGGAAGTGAACTGGAAAAGCGGTTTCTTATGTTCGCTTCCCTTAGAGGCCAACAACATTATTGTCCTCTGTTCCAAGCAGAATGAGAAAATTCATATTACATGTCAGAATTTTTGCTAATCCTCTTAGAAAATTTTCTATTTTAAGCTGCAAAGCTGCTGAAGGCCCTCTATCAACTCAAGTTTGTATACAGCATAACCAATCATGCGCACATTAACCATCGTCAGTGCACATTTAAACATGCATGTCTAGGCTGCTACTATAAAAGTAGCAGTGGGTGTGTGTGAATGTTAGCATCCATGTTTGAGAGAGAGAGAGAGACCTGGATCCTGATCCCACGTTTAAACCTCTACACGGAAGGCTAGCCGTCCCTTCTGAATCTATGCATGACAGATTTCTAGTATTTCCAATTCCCTAAAGAAATATCCAAGAGCAGAATGCAGCAGTCAGCAATAACAGTAAAAACCTGAACAGATACTGATGATCCGCAAAATCAAATCATTAGACAGATCAAACGTACAAAACTTATAATTATGTTTGTACCAGTGTTCTCATTGCATTGGTAACTGGAGGTGATGGGTCTGACGTGTCAGCACTAAAAATGGGTCTTTCCAATGGTGCAGCATTTTTTATAAAAGGATGCTCTAAAAGCCAAGCTGCTGTAGGGCGATTTAATGGGTTTCTTTGTAAACACTGCCTCACAAAGTCCTTCCCCTCTTCTGAAAGACTATCAGGAATTGCTGGAAGTTCTTTACTGTTGCCAATCTTGAACATAGCAGCAACCTATGAAAAAATATAAGCAAATGTATCCAGAATGAATTAAAAGGTAAAAAGATTTTCATATTGGGCATGCAACATGTTCCTTTTTAAAGGAATATGCAGACTAGGATGCTCATACAGAAGGGAAAATGAACATTGCTGTATAACTAATGACCTTTAATTTTTATAATATCACACAAAGTCAAAATTTCATGCCTGCGTATAAAAATTTACTAACCCCTTCATACTGGCTCCAAGGTGGCTTTGTGGTAGCCATCTCCAAAACTGTGCACCCAAGGCTCCATATATCAACAGCAAGGTTGCATCCATTTGAGTTCTTGATAACCTGAATGGCAAATGAAATTAAATGATATTATCAGAAAGCATCATAGAAATGATAGACCTTGGAATATAACTACAAAACCATGCTGACCTCAGGTGCCATCCAATAGGGGCTTCCCTTGAACGACAATGGACAAGATGACCCAGTAATCTGCAGATTATTTCAGATGACGTATATTAATATCCAGGGACATCACTTTTCACAAAAAAAAAAAAATCAAGGGACATGCAATATGTGCATAAAGTATGCTTACTAGACAACAAATCATGGATTACTTTTTCTTATTAGAATTTGCCACAGAAAAGAGGACTCAGGAATTTAAATCAGTCATCTTACAACAATATCATATGTCGGGATCTAGTTCAGATAAACACAGCAACATAAGCATGATTTATTTTGGTTTTGTAGACAGATCCATTAATTATGAAATCACAGATAAGTGCTCTTACGTGCTTTGCCATCCCAAAATCAGCCAATTTCACACGGCCATTGGGGTCAACCAGTATGTTTGCTCCTTTTATGTCTCTGAAAAAATTTTGCATATTATACAAATGATCTCCAGCACAATTGACACAGTGAGAAATTATGATATTCACAACGTGAACAACCCAAGTATCACCAGAAACTAAACTCACCTATGAACAGTATTTTTAGCATGTAAGTAAGCCAACCCAGACAAAATTTGTTGAGTATAATTCCGAATCGCACTTTCACCAAACTGACCATACTCTTGAAGAAGTTTATAGATGGAGCCACCAGAAACATACTCCAAATATATGTAAAGTTTATCACCTACCTGTTCATGAACAAAAGGGGAAAAAAATGCAATTACCACAATGCATCAATTGATCTTGTTGATCTGTAATATTTGATGTGAGGAGAACTTCTAGCAGTGACAGACTATCAGAGACTAATTATGGGAATGACACCTTAACAAGGTATTTAAATGAAAAGAACAAGAACTCACAGTTTCAGATCCATAATATTGCACTATATTTGGATGTCGTAAGCGACTAAGCAGCATGATTTCCTGTCAAGAAACTTTTTATGAGTATAAAAAGCTATCTATTATTATTTACACCAAAAGAAAAATCAACACTCAAATGAACATCAGGGAAAACATGATTTCGGTTCTTAAAGCTACAAAATTTCAGACAAATCTCTTAAAAAAAAAAAAACTAGAAGACATGGACTTACTTGCCCCAACTGCTGTGCACTTTCCTTTGATTTGGCATCATCTGAAAACAAAGTTACCTCCTTCATTGCGCACATCTCCCCACTTTCACTATAGCAAGAGATAAGAAGGTGAAAAGGAGAGAGAAAACAGATCAAGCATTGAAATAGTAAGAAAATTGCAACAATTATTAGCCAACTGATTTGAGTGGGAATAAAAGGCCATCAACAACCTTGAATAGAAAATGTGAACATCCAAATTTGATGATAAAGTTAGCAAGGATTAATTCAATACTCAGACACATTATGATTGAGAAAATAGCTGGGTTCAATCCCACATATCGCTTTACAACAATAAAGATGTAGCAGTGAAAACAAATTATGCCACAAATGCAGCACTCAAGAATGAACAAGAACAAATGAAACAGATAAGATTAGAGCGTAACCCATCTGACAGACCTGTTAAAACCCTGATAGACATGTCCAAATGTGCCCCTCCCCAGCAATCGTCCTTTCTTCCAGCAGGAGCCAGGGCTTGTTGGATTTTCTGCCCTACCAGGACTTCGGGGTAACGATGGAGATGTTGCTGCTGAATATGCAGAAGAAAAGGGTATTGTTATTGGGGGAAGAGGCAACCTGTGGCTTAGCTGTTTCCCATCATCAGGTCGGCCTGTAGGTGACTCAGTGGCAGCCCCTGTAGCTCGTGGATGCAAAGGGGTGACAGCACCACTGTGTATTCTGGAGCTGGGACCAGGGCTTGTCATTCTGGGACTAGGTATTGGTGAACACTCAGGGCTACACCTGCTTTGTGGCCAAAATAGCTGTCCTGACATATCTCCACCAACTGAATTATGTCCAGAATTGTGGCCTGAACCTGGACTGGAGCAGTGTCCGGAACCCAGGAAAGCTATGTCAGAGAATGGCTTTCCTGTACAGGGACCAGCATTCCAAAGTTGCTCCAGACCAAACCCTCTCATTGGACTTCTAGAAGGACTTGACATTGAGCTGTCTGGAGCACTACAGAAAGCACCACGTTGAGGAATTTGTAAATTCTGCACATGATTGCTCAATGGTCCTCGCTTAGGTGATGTGGATAAATACTGACTATTAAAAGATATATTAGCTGGCTTCAGTATCTCTTTTGAGTTCTTCTGATTGATAACAGGCAACTGATCTGTAAGCTTTATGCTTCATTAAAATTTGAAAATAATAACCAATTAGGGATGACATACAAATTGTGAGAGAGGTATAGTTAGAAAATACTATAATTTTAAATAATATTAGTTAAAACTCACCCAGAAGGACTGTTTGCAGCAGTTCTCTGTCCATTTTCGTAATCAGAAGTCAGGGGGCTAAGTAGACGAGATTCAGATGGGTCATCACTATCAATAGAGCTATCAGTAGAAACAGAAGCAGTAGCAAGATCACCCCAGCATCTACAGGATCCAGTTTGTTAGAGACTTGTCCAGGTTTTGGCAAGGGTAAAAACAGTGACGGCCTTGAACCTCTGTCAAATCCTGGTCTTGTTGATGCATTAATTCCAGAATTAGTACGCACAACACTAGCATGATGCACCCCAGGAAGTGGAAGTGGTTGAGCATCAGGCCTTTCTGCAAAACTTTGACAGCGTGATACTTGTGTCGAGGGTGATGGTGATCTTGATGGGACTTGAGACAGAGATCCCCTTTCTGAAACAGTATCAGTACAGCGTCCTCGAGAACCCCCTGATCTGCTAGTGGATCTGTCATCAGATGTAATTTTAAGCTTGCGATTTATAGCATCAATGAAACTTTCCTTGCTTGCTTTCTTTTTGTCTTCTTTGGATGAAGACTTTCCCCACCATGTTGGCATATTTTCTTAATACAGGGTAAACTCTGACAGCAAGATCCCCTTCTTAGTTACAGTTGCTACTTACTTCAACATCCGTGATTACACTCATGCTGGTTAAGCTTGAACCAAGTCCACTGATTTTTTTTTAACATCATTACATTACAAGCACAAAGAAATGGACATAACTCTGGGCATGCCAATTAAAGAATGCTGCATTCTCTAAAGACGCATTACCCAGTAAGAACCTGTATAAAAGCTTCATCATGAGCCTCTAGGGAAGAATGCACCAAAAGGGAAAACATAAATAAGAATTATACTAAATATACAGGTCCGAAGATAAATAATATCAGGCAAATAGAGAGTGGAGAGGCCCCCTCATAAGCACATAGACGGCATAAGTTCAGAATATTGCCAGACCAAAAAAATCTTTAAAGGATGTTAAAAATTTTTCGGCATTAACTTCCCCTTCAAAAAGCAGTCACAGAAGATGCATTAGCTCTAAATTTCACATCTAAAAGTCATAAATTTGAATTTATTGCTTAACTAATCATTGGTCCACAACCAGATGACACATCCTAGCTAGACCATTGAGTCCAAACGACTCCTCATTATTCTATAGAGCATTCCAGCTCAAATTTACACCTAAAAATAGAGCAGCTATTGAACTATTTGCTCAAACAAAAAAGGGCCCTTGACACTCAATTTATTATTACCAAAACAGATCCACGATTTGGGTACCCATTTTCTACATAAAGTGACATATAAGCTCAATCTCAAGAGCCCAAAAAACAGTTTTTTAACCTGGATCTACAAATTCAACCAATTCATATATCCAACAAAAAAAACACACACACAAATTTACAACAAAAAGCACAATCAAGAACTCAAAATATCACAAGTTAGACAACATGATAGCAAAAAATCAAAAAACCCATCTCCAAATTCACCAAACCTCAAAACCCATAAGTTAAAAACACTATATAGAATTGGTCCAAAATGAAGAAACAAACGCTCATATTACACTCTACAAGCATAGAACCAACACTTCATCAAGCTCAAACATTGAACAGAATAAATAAATCAAACATTGAAAAACCTCTAAAAGTCCTCAAATCAATCCAAAATTTTCAGCTCAAAACGCCAAACAAAAAAACATAATCTTTAAAAAACCCACATCATTACTTACAGTGAAGTGTAAGAATAGCCCTCTCTAAAAGAAGTGTCAGTTACCAGGAGCGACGGCAAAGAGAAGCTCAAAAGGCTCTAAAATGAATGAAGGACAGAGAAAGAGAAAGAAGAAAAAAAAACAAAAGAAAAGCTCTTTAGAGAGAGAAAGACAGAGTTTTTTTTTTAATTTTAATTTTGATTTTTGGTTTTTTTTTTTTTTCAGTTTTGGAGTGGCGAAATAATAGATTGCTGTCTTTGTGCGTCTAATTCGTGCAATAAGAACTGGAAGATTAAATTATTTGAAAAAAGTGGGAAAGCCTGGCGTGGACAACCTGATGTTCAGCTAGAAACTAGTGACGTAGGTTCGGGACCGTCAGATTTGACTTTAATGACGCCACGTCCTTGATCTGAAGTCAAGTTCTTGATAGTGAAGTTGAGTTGTGTTATGGTTATCGTGCTAACAGATGTGTCGGATTGTTTACCTTCCGCCCTTTTTTCAATTTTTTTAACGGCAACTTACTTAAAAATATATTCCCATTATCATTTATCCCATATGCTTTACGCAATTAATTGAGTGTTTTTTTTTTTGATCCCTTGTTTTGGGATTATTCGGAATTGGTACCTTAATTTCTTTGTGATTAAAAGGAACAATTAAAATTTACATTATTTACGCAAATTATAGCTATTTTTGTTTTTGGTTTTTATTATTTTCAAATTTTGAACTATTTTAACATAATTTTAATATAACATATAATATTTTTAAAAACTCAATGAATTATTTAAATAATTTATAAAAGTTCAATTAAGTTTTTTATCTTTTCATTTTGAATTAACTAAACCTTTATACTTAATATTTCATTAATTATCATTAATTAAAATATCACTTATTTTTTTATATTCATATATTGTTAACATAAATAGTAAAAATATCACATCAGTATCATTTAGTATGATATATTACATCAATGTTACGTGATATAGAATGGCATGTGGTATTTTGATTAATAATATTTAATTATTTATTAATTATAAAAATTTATTTAATTTAAAATAAAAATATAAATAATTAATTAAACTAAAACAATAATTTTTTTAATTTTTTTTCTAAATTATTATGCCTTAAACTCGTGAAATTTGGAGATTGAATAGACTTAAGAAGGCCAAATTAAAAATTCAGGCAAAGCTTTGAAGGAATCATGTATGAAGAAAACGATGTTCACTTCCACTATTATAATATTCTGCATATAATGTGCTTTTACATGGTATTTAGTCCAACTTGGGTGTTTAGCATTAATTTATATACTGCATGTTTTCCAGCAGTGTGGACGCTGGCAACGATATCTACCAAGTAGGGGACGACTTTTTGGATTTATTTACAAAATTCCAACATCTTTTTTACTCTCATGTCAAAGCTATCCAACGTGAATTCAGCCCTTCCATTCCACCGCTTTCTTTCGGAAAGGTTATCGAATTTCTTTGACCCCTCTTTCAGGAATCTTTGAAACTAATAGTCAAATGCAAATCAGTGGTGGTGGAGACAGACGTCTGGGGAAATTTTCATGTGTGCTAAGATATACATATCCTTGAATATGCATTGAGTTTATGTTTGCAATTTCCCCCAGGACCCCCGTAAAAGAAGCCATTAGCATCTCCATTAATGGGAGCTGTGTCATAACAACTGGGTTTATCTGTGATAAACTTAAGTGATTTTGGATCAGGAGGCCCTCTTTTGCAGGATTCATCTGCAATTTGAAGCTCTTTTATGTAGGCTGCCTTAGTCATGCCTTGTACGGGCAAACTGGCCACTTCCCATGGGAGGGCTAGCTTCATTGGCCAGTACCCAATTTGATCATCGTCACCAAATGAAAGCCACCAATTCCCTGATTTTGGATCCTGTATTCAGCACAAATACAAACTTAATCGTAAATGAGGCACTTCAAGGAATGATTAATAGTTCCAGAATTGCTTAAAACATGTTGATTTGGGAAGCATACCTTGAAAATATTACAAGTAAAATCATTTTGCTTTCCTCCATGGACAGAGGGCAAGAAAAATGAACCAAGAGGGATATCCTTGCTAAGTTGCACAAAACCCGGGCAAAGTGTATTGTAACAACCTTGTTTATTGGCCTGTCAATTAATTAATATGGCCGCCGTTCACTACTGGAATGCACTTATAATTTTAAGTCAACAGAGCTTGAACATAAAGAAATTACAATGGCTTACAGTCCATTGAGCACAAAGTGGAGTGAGATTATCGCCATCTAACGATGGATTTACCTATAATTTATATAGAAAACATGTAATAGGATGAGAGTTTATATTTTATACAACTAAAAAACGAAGAAGACAAAGAAAAACAAGACACATTATGATTGGTTACCATCCATCCTGCTTGAATGCTTTCAATTTGGTCGGCTGAGCTGCTTTGAATCCTCACAAAAGCTTCGCTGAATTGCGTGTTTGAAACCGATGGGTTTTGTACATTGATCAATCCACCAGCTCCCAAATATTTCCTTCTTAGATCATTTGCTAGCATTCTTATTGCATTCTTGACAATGTTATGAAGGGGAAAAGAAAGAAGTACTAATCAGATCAATATACAATAAGTAAGTATTGGAACGGAGATTTCTATAGTATTTACTTGCATGGAAACCAGGAGAATTAGAAGCTGTTGGATGAATGTCTGTCATGTGCCTTTTCTTAAACAGTTTAGCCCTTATCAATTCCCCTTTGTTGGCCCTTCTGATTGGAACTGTCCCAGATGGGCACCCTCCATTCTTCAACATTGGAGTTTCCAATGACTTGGATGGAGAATTTGCACTAATTAATCCCTCTTGGGAGGAACTTGGTTTCATCTACAACATCTTTATCATTAACAAGAGGAAAAATATTGGGAAGTACTTGTTATCCCAACCAGAGCAGGCTTTGGATTGGTTTTGCAAAGAGATCTGATTACCTGAATTTGGTGGCTCTTAAGCAAAGGATGATCAAAGTCTGGTTGTTTATGGATATCAAGACAGTCGAAAGAATGACCCCCTTCAGTCTGTTTAAAAAAACAAAAGCTAATCAAATTTTATTGTATTAAATGGTAATAAGTTTATGGAATTTTCTTGTTTGATCGCTAGTTTGACAAATTTATTTAAGTTTTTTTTTTTTTTTACCATAATGCTCTTGACATGGGGCTTGTTCAAAATCTTGGGCTGACTATCTAAATCAAGATCTTCAAAACTTTTTCCCCCTTCTGATCCATTTGTGACGAAGGAGAAAGACAAGAGAGAAAAGAACAAGAAATGGGATCAATGTCAAACCTGGGTCTTGATGAAGGCCACAGAACACTCTAAATGCCATGAATGTTACGCTCACGCTCTATTTCTTCGCCCCAGAGATAAGCCCAACAGAGGCTACAGATGCTCATCTATATACCCATTTGTGACAAGTCTTGCATGCAGTAATAGAATTGCTTGCCATTTATCAGATATGAACAAAAGGTGTCTCTGGTGAGGTTCATTATCCTAAATAGACTGTCATGTCAGGTCAGCCTTGGATAAAGCTAGTTTACTTTTTACTGGTAAGAATCAAGTCCTGGGGAACAAAAGAGTTCAACCGTGCCTTCTTGGAAAGATTTGGAATGACTATTAGTTCATTCTTCAGACTAAGTTAATTATTTGGATTTCTAGAGATCCTCAGTCAACTAATTAAGGGAAGGTTGGAAGAGATTTATGGCATGTATAAAAGGAGCATTTCAGGTTTATTATTGCAAATAAGTTAATGAATGTATACTAAACCTAACTCCAACTTTAGAAAAAAGATCATAGCCATAAAATATGTAATTAAATGGGATTTATTACAGGATAAACTACTTCATTCTTATCTCATATTATTCTATTAGACACTTCAATTTGAAACATATATAGAAATCAAGATGCGAGTTCATATGTGCAACCAAATCCCAAGTTCAATCAGTCAGAGACATATATAAATCGAGTTAAAATTCATGCCACCATCCACTGAAATGGGTTCATTTCATTTATAGAAGCATATATATCCCAAATTAGGAATACAAGGCTGTTATATCCAAATTGAATTAGTTTCAACAATCACCTCCTGGACCCCCATAAAGAAAGCTATGATGCTCTCCTGGAATAGGACCAATGCTGTGACGCTTGGGATCATCTGCGACGTCTTGGAGACGTCCTGGGTCAAGAGATCCTCCATGACCAGATTCTTCAGCAAGAATCTTTCGGATATAAGCAGCCTTTTCATTCCTTCTTCAGCAAAATGGCCGCTTCCCATGGCGGGATTACCTGCATTATTTCTACTAAAAACAGCTCCTCCCCATGTAAGCTGTGTAGCAGCGTCTGATAAACTTGAAAACAAGGACTTTGGCCAGTATCCTATGTTCTGCTCATAATAATCACCATGTTGAAGCCACCAATTCCCTGTATCTAGATCCTAGAAAGCACAACATTGAGGTACACAACGAATTGTCTTTTTGGAAGCATATGGACAAACCTTTTTATCAGAAAAACAGATTTTTTTTTTCCAATTACATGGTGAGAAGCATTTAGTAGATGTCGAAAGCATACCTGAGATATAAAATATCCGAACTCAAATTGCTGCCCTCCATAGACAGAAATATTGTGAAGAATAAAACCAAGAGGGATAGTCTTGTTAACTTGCACAGAACCAGGGCAAAGCATATTATAGCAACCTTTCTTTCCTGCCTGTAGATAGAAATTTGACATGTGAATTCTAACTCCAAATTAGCAATGGTTAAAAACAAAGAAATCAAAGTACTTACGCTCCATGAGGCAAGAGTTTGAGTGTAATTGTCACCTTGTAATGCTGGATTTACCAGAAATTAATTCAGTGTAAAAAAATTAAAACTGACAATGAGGTTTTATCTTGTATAAACCAAGACAAACTAATAGAAAATCCATAATTACCATCCATCCAACTTGAATATTATCAATTTGGTTTTGTGATCCACTTCGAACCCGCACAAATGCTTTACTGAATTGGGTATTGGAAACAGATGGATTTTGTGTGTTGATCTTTGCACCAGCTCCGGTAAAATTCTAACCAGTTTACAGCATTTGTAGTGCATTCTTGAGAATATTGTCGATCGTAATAGCCCCATTTCTTTATTTTAAAAAAAAATAAAAAATGACCAAAAAGAATTAATTACATGATAACAAGGAGAGGCAGCAGCAGTTGGTTGAGTACTTTTCATAAACAATTTAGCCCTTATTAAGTCTTCCTTGCTGGTCCTCTTGATTGGGACTGTACCTGATGGGCAGCCTCCATTCTCCAATATTTCAATATTCAGTGACTTGGCTGGCAATGACTTTGCACTTTTCAACCCCTTTGGAGAACTAGGCTCCATCTATGCCATTATTTTCATTTATAAAGCAACCATAGTTAATTGTAGTGCATAACAATAAATTATGTACAAATGGTGGCATTGATGGATAATAATGATGGTGGCATTGCTTAACCATACATGTTTGAGCAACCATTCCGGCTTTACTGAAGTTCTTCTACAGTAAAGATAAAAGGGCAAGGGGGAAAACCTGGATTTTACGGTTTTTTGAGCAAAGGATGATCAAATGCTGGTTGTTCATCGATGTTGACACAACCTGTTCAGAAAAGATGAATAAAAAGAAAATACATTAAAACTTAATCAAGCCAAGAGAAAATTATGAAGACAAAGACACAATGTTCTGTTTTTCATTGAACATATATATCCAGTAGTTACAGAATAGAGAGAGCAAAATAAAAAACAAAAGACCGATACATAACTAAACAATAAAATTACCAATAATTGTTTCTGCTGTAACATGATATTAGTTGTCAACATGGTAAATCCACGTTGCTAAATTGACATAATACTAAAGACAAAAAAACTGAAAATAACTAATGCATAAACTGCTATTTTAAACTGGTCACAAGCTGCTGCTCGTGATCTCATCTCCACCCATTCAAAGCATCATTAAACCATCCTCCATCGCAGTTGAGATACATTCTAGTTTTAACACAACCTTCATCAGTCTGATAAAATGATGAAATTGATCGTTCGTTATATAAATTTAACTCATAATTAATTCATTATGCAACTTTCTTTATAAAACTATAACTGTTTCCCCATTTAAAGAGTAATTTAATTTACCTTAATGCTCTTGAGAAAGGGCTTGTTCAGAATCCTGACCTGTTCCAAATCAAGATCTTGAAAACGTTTCCGTCCTTCTGATCCATTTATAACTACTGAAAAAGACAGAGAAAAGAGAAGTAGAAACGGGGCAAGCATCAAACCCGAGCCCTGATGAAAGCCACTGATAAATCCAGGTGCGGTGAATGAATTCTCTCAATTTCTTCACCACACTGCCACAACGCCTACTCATAGGTGCAAATTTGGTTACTCATTTCTTACTTGGGAGAATATTTGGTTTTAAAGGCTGTTCATTAGTTAGTGAATAACCATTTATTGTAAAGGTTAAACATAGTGAATATGCAGGTTTCCACTCTGTTTGTCAGTATCATTATTATCGGGTTACACCAATGAATTTACTGTTGAAAATTTAATTAAAGACTTATCACCCTTTCAGGATAAGAAGGTAGTATTTGAGATTTAAGGGCAAGGATTTTTCTTTAAGAAGGTAAAGAAGAAAACACCATGAGATGATGAAGATAACAACTGGAATAGCTTCATTCTGAGCTTTGGACCAGAGAGATCGACGAATTAAAATCATTACATTCTTCAAGCTTAGGACATAAAAATGAATGCGCCTAGCTGGCACCCATCTAATTGTTACTGCTGCAGATATTTATGGCATGTTGGGCATTTTCCATGTCGTTACACTCTGAATACCACATCAAAACAAACACCGTGGGCCTCCTTTTTTCTGTTTTTATGCATACGGAAAAGACTTTCACTTGGGAGCAGGGTCGAATTAGTAGTATTATTATTATTATCCTGACGAAAGGGCAGTGAAATGGGAATAAACCCATAGCTAAAGTTGACCTATAAGATGAAACAATGAAATAATGAAATTTAGGCCTTTGGTTCCAAATGATTGTCCTTCGTTTAGTGACTTTGTCTAACAAATACAGCCGCCTGATACATAATAAATAGCCAACAAGATTAATGAAATGAATGTTAAAGTTCACTTAAGAGGTAAACTTTTTTGGTAATAATCAATGCCTAAAAAGCTGTCTTAATCTTCAGGACTAGACATGTCAGAGTGAGAGTATCTAATAAGAAATGGAGAGTTACAACCATTATTTTTTAACTTTCTCTTAAATGTCTCTTTTGCTCACCCAAATTGTAGGCTTTGCTTAATTATGTGGACCAATTATTAGCGACGTATGATTAAAGCAAAGAAAACATTACGCAAGACTTTGAACTACTTGACTTACCAATATCCATTGAAAATAACAAGCAACAATAAAAAGATATTAAGGTTATTTTTTAAAAAATAAAAATAAAAATAAATTTCATTGTTTTATATACTCACGTTAGAGAACATTCTTTAGATGTAATATTTAAAATGTCACTAAGTTATTCAACTTGATTAAATAAAATTAAAATATTTTATAATTAAATTCGAATAGTAAAATTATTATCTATCATAGGTTCAGATAGTAGTTATAAAGTACCCACTATCCAAACCCAATTATAAATAATGCTTCTTAATATTAAATTTTTTAGTTTTATATATATATATATATTTTATAATCAATTAAATACTTAGTAAAATTCATTAGTTATTTTAATTATGATTTTAAATTTAAGCTTATCTTTTATGAATTAATTTTAATTTTTTAATTTATTAATAATATATACAAAATTGAATTTTAATTTATTTTAATTATATATTTAATGAATAGTGTTTAATGTATTTGGATACAAATTTGAATAGCAATTAAAAAATTAAACCAATATTTATAAAATTTAAGTACATTATCAAATAATATGATTCGAGATTACCTTATCTATTGACATCTCTAATAATATTCCTTACCTTGCACCAAACTAATGATGAGTGAGTGAACTTGTGATAAAGACAAGAAAATAAGCACTATTTAATAAAATTTAATTATCATTAACTATGATTTCAATTCACTGATAATGAATAACCTTTGCTTAATCAATTGTCTTCAATAGCGTGCTGGGTTTTAATTATTATATATCATAAATTTTGCAACATTTAATAAGGAAAATAGAAACTAGTATAACATTAAATTTAAAACGATATGTCAAATTTCTAAATAGAAAAAGATATATAATTCCAAATAAAAAAATTCTCTCTGTTTTTTTTTTCCTAACAATAAACCCCATAGTAATCAAATGTAAAAAGACCAAAACTTGTTCTTGTGGGAGAGACCAGAAACCAACTGAAGCAAATGAATGTGTTATCATTTCTCCAATTCTACGAATTTCAATCCTTGGGAGGTTATTATAATGTATAAGTGGCTTTCAGTTTTTTTGTTTTTTATTTCACTTGCATCTATAGATGACTTAAAATAAAGGTAATAATAATACCATCTTAATTCTTACTCCCTTCTTCATCCAGCAATGCACATATTCACAAATTTTCCATCGAAATTCAAGCATACCCTTATTCCACTCCAGCTGCAGCGGCTAATCCCTCGCGGTTGCCTTTGGGAGGAGAGCTTTCACCTGCTTTGCATATCTTTTCCATGACAGGCTTCAGATTTCTTGGGTGCACGTCCACCAGGAGCCCATATTTCATGAACAATGTTAGTGACATTTTCTGCTCCACCCGGTGGCCTGCCATGACGGTGAGCCGGTGTCGCAGCAGCACCGCGGTGGCTATTGATTTCATCTGCAAATAAGCTAAATCCTTTCCTAAACAAATTCTGGGGCCGGCGTTAAATGCAAGAAATTTGTATGAATCTTTTGCCTCAAATTTGTTGCCATCTTCGGATAGCCATCTTTCTGGCTTGAAATCTAGGCAATCTTCACCCCAGATGAATTTCATTCGACCAATTGAATATATCGAGTATGTCACGTTTGATCCCGAGGGGACAAATGTTCCACTGGGCAAGACATCGTCAGCTATTACATACTTTGAGTCTTGTGGCACTGACGGGTAGAGTCTTAATGTCTCGGAAAGTGCTGCCTTAAGGTATATCAATCGGTCAACTTCTTCAAACACTAGGGGTTCATCCACCCATTTGGAAGTGTCAGCGCCACGTGTCTCCACCAGAACAGTGCAAATTTCGATGAGGATTTTCTCTTCCACTCTTGGGTTTTGCATGACCAACCAAAAGAACCAACACAGTGCAACCGATGACGTGTCACGTCCAGCTAGGATGAAGTTGAGTGCCACATGTTGGAGGAATTCGTCAGAGTAGGCTTCTTTTTTCTTCATGAAACGGGACAACAAGTCATCATGTGGGGTCCCACCTTGTCTCTGACGCACCAATTCAAGCTTACGTGTATTAATGATGTGGGATAAGAATTTATCCATGTGTTCAAGGCTTTGGCTCAACTTGACTTCCATCCCAAGCCGAAACCATTTCTTCAGCTTCCATATGATTTCAGGCAAAATAAAGCGTTGTAGCGTGGCTTCCGTGGCTCGATCAAAAGCCATTGCGAAGCCGTTCTCAGGAAGGCCAGGAGACAGTGTTTGAGGGTCCTTGCCAAAAGTCAAGCCGCATATGTTATCGAAGGTGAGCCGGAGCAAGAGGTCTTGAAGATCAACCGGCTTCCCTTGGACCTGAGCCGTCTCCAGAATTGGGCAAAATCGGTGCTTGATGGCCCGGCTAACCCACCGTGCCATGGCTTGGCGCAGAGTCCGGGTGGTGAATTCCAGTGCGGCAGTCTTACGCTGGAACAGCCACGTGTCACCATCAGAATTGAAGATGCCATCACCCAGCAAATCATGAAACACAGCCTGCCAATTAGGTCCCTTGGGGTAATTATCGAACCGGGCCTTCAAAATATGCTCCAAGTTCTTGGGATCGCACGTGACGGTCACGAGACCTTGCTTCCGGGCTAAAAATGGAATTGCGGCGATGCATGTCTGATACGTGCCGCCACACGCGCGGAGATTGTCGGCGATCCACTCATGCATGCAATTCGAGTTCTGAATGAGCCCCGGGAGGCTGCCCAATAAAGGCCAGAGACGTGGACCATCGAGCGACCGTGAGATCAACTTGAACCATATGAAGTAAGCAGCTATGGCTGATAAGATCATCAAAGCCGTTGATACATCCATGTTAACTAAAATTTGCACTTGAACAAGTAAACTATAATTTCTTCGCTAATGAAGACACGAAACACAAAAAAGTACTTGCAGTTGTTGCAACGTGACTTTCAATTGTCAAGCTTTGAAGTGTGACAGGTCTATCCGAAGCTACCGATTCCTGGGCTGTTGAACAAAAATGGAGAAAAAATAAATGCAACCCAGATCCTGTTCTGTAAAGAATGATGTTAACTGGATCAAAGTATGTGCAGGATGAAAAGGGGGGAGGAGAAGCATAAAAAAGAAGAACAGGGCTTCAAGTTAATTTTCTTGGATTGTGAAGGAGAAAACCAAAAGTCAGAAAGAGAAGGAAGGGCGAGACGTCTGTGAGTGAAGGGAAAAGAAAGAAGACAAAAGTGTTTTATAGGGGAAATGCACAAAAAGTCAGAAAGAAAGGCAATTAATTTGGGCAGCCAGATTTGTTGAGAAAATCCCGCTCTTCTACCGTCCAGACTCTCCCTGATTTTGTGTTTTAATTTGTGCATGGACCTGATTACTCAGGCTATAAACACAAAGCCAGCCAGCCAGCCATTAATGGCCGACTGAGGTCGTTGGAAAATCATAAGGAAAAGCCCCACGAGGCCTCGCACCAAGTAAAAAGCTCACTGGCAAATAACGAAAGTCATGAAAACTAAGACTCTTTTTTTAATTAGTGTCTTTAGAGGGTGAAAGGCCTCACCTAATTTTGAAGGAAAAAGCTTCTCCTCTTTAAATTCCACTATGGCAGCATTGAATGAAGATGTAGACGTAAATATGATTAGTTGAGCAACTATAATCACTATGGCTATATAGATAAACACATATAATACATAATCGATTTACATTTTTGTTTTTTTTAATGCAACATATATATAATGATATACTTACTTGTAAAGGTTTAAGGAAATCTTTTTTATGACATAATATTTAAAAAATTTTCTTAAATTATATAAAAAAATTTAAAAATATATTTATTTTTTTATTATATTCAATCAAACTCTTATACTTTTATTTTAAATCAAATAAATTTTTATGATTAATGATCATTATTAATCAAAATATCGTTTATTATTTTATGTCATGTAACATGATAACGTGTAATAATGAATAATAATATGATATATTAATAATATGATTATATCGTGTTTATAATTAACGTCTCGTAATAATAAATAATATTTTAATTGATGATAATTAATTAATAGTTAATTATAAAAATTTATTTGATTTATAATAAAAATATACAAATTTAATTAAATATAATTAAAAAATAAAAAAATATTTTTTAAATATAATTCCAAAAGTTTTTTTACCGAATAATATATTTTTTAGTTTATTGTTGAAAATTTGTATTGTTCACGTGACTGGTTAATGGCTGTGCAAGTGTTGGGTATGCGACACAGTGACCTCAGCATCATTTAATCGTTTTTCTTTCCATTTTATGGGTGTTAA